TGTTGTGACATACACCTGTTTAGATAAATTATGCTCTTAGGAAAACTGAAATACAATGGGGAGAGGCTGAGAAGAAGTGAGCATTCAGAACAGGCAAGAATTCAAGCAGATAACACATAATGAGTAAAACTTATATCTTACCTATGGAGTTTTATTCTCCTTTTTTCCATTAAATTTGCATGGCTACCATATGCAGCATACATTCAACAAAACAGTCAACTGCATTAATTTGCCACCACTAATTTATAAGACACCTAAATAAAAGTCTATTTCTTGTCATTATTAATAAGTCTCTGATTTTGTTCAACCATGGCCTGTCTTTGGTTTTTGATGTGAAAGCACTGGTAGAAGTTTTTCATAATGAAGGTCGTGGGCATCAATTCAAATTCTGTGTATTGGAAAACAACTACTTCACTACTCATTGCAAATAGTGCAATTGATGAAATCTGGCAAGCAAATTCTAAAATTTTGGTTAAAAAAATATGCAACATCAAAAGCTCATGAAAGGGACAATATATTTATATACACACATTAAACTCTCAAAATAATAAATAGTAGAATTATAGCTGTTCATGAAACATGAATTCAGTTGTCTGATATGTAACCAGGATAATTGCTTTGCTGAATTTTATAGTGCAGGCCATCTATGCAGCCAAGGAATGGGGAAAGAAGGGAAATAAATATAGCAGAAACACCAACGCTCCTGTGACCAGTTCAGTGTTCTAAGTTAAAATAGTTCTTCTCCTCTAAACCTTTATTTTATGCACTGCTTATCCCATTTTATGAGATATAAAAGTATAAGAAATCACTGTACTCTAAAATATACAAAGACAATATAAAAATGCAGAAAGAGCATTTCAATGACAAAGAATTTAACACTGACCACTATAGAGCCAAAATAAATCTAAATTGGAACGACCACAGGTAATGAATAAAGAATTTTGCTTTACACGAGCTTTTCTGCTATTCTTTTTTTTTTTTTTTTTTTTTTTTTTTTTAAAACTTTCAAGTTTCCTAAGGGAAAAAAAAAAGCCTCAAAGCCACCCTAACTGGGTTTTAAATATTTTTAGAATTCTCCCAAAGTGGTCCTTTGCTTGGTAATTTTTCTCCAGGGTTGCATTAACATCTCACTCGTCAACACAGATGGCCAAAAGATCGAAATAGGCATCTGTAAAGAAGGCAAGCATTAAATAGACAACCTAGTGCAAAGGTCAGGATGTTTTATGTTTCAGACACTATTCCTAACCATCCTGATCTTTCCACATCCAAAGCTACGAAGAGATCAGGGAACATCTTAAAAGGATTTCCTAAGCATCTTCTTCAAGGTAAAATACAAATTATTCAAGATTAGATATAAGTTTTTTGCTGCTCAAACTAGTTTTCTGACTGCTTCTCACTTAGTTCAGTTTATATTGATAACACTTAGAGGATGGAGATGGAATTAAAATATCAAATCTTTACTTCCAGTTCAGAAGATGTTCCACACTTCATGGAAGCAGTAGAGAAGTCCAAAGTCTCTCTGACCTTTCTGTCCTATGGGACAAGCATTACACACGGACTAACAGTACTCACATACTGTCTTCACTACAAAGGAACCAATATCTTTTTTTATACTTAGCATTTGGGTCATTATATCTTACTATTAATTATGAGGCTGCTCCAAAAGTAATGCCTCCTATTTCATTATGCTGGCCCACATCATCAGAGGCAGATACTGGTCATATGTCAGGAGAGGTTGAACCTTCTCACTAATGTTGTTACATTTTCTAGCCATGTGACAGATGACAGCAGAGGGGCAAAACAGCATAGGAGCATGTATGAAGTAAAGGTGTGTCACTGAATTCCTCCATGTGGAAAAAATAGCACTGACACTTACTGCTGCTAGCTGAGCATTTATGGAGACCAAACAGTGGATGCCAGCACAGCAAGGTGGTGGGTGGTGCATTTCAGCAATAACAACAGCAATGCGAAAGGCAAGCAACATTCCAGATGGCCATACATAGATGTCACAGCACAAAATGAAGAACATGTCGATCAATTCATCTGTGGCTAATAGTAGTGATTATGTTGAAAACCAGTGTTCTGTAGCTGAGAACTTACTCTGTTGTGTTATTTTGCTCTTTGTAGTTGTTAGTCTTCATCAAAATCAATATGAGGCATTACTTTCAGAGTGACCTATGTATGTTTTCTTTCCAAAGGATACTACTCATTACTGTCATAATCACAGCTCAGTGATGCAAAACACCAGATGCTGTCCCAAATGCATGTCTGTCTTTTCGGTTCCTTCCCCTTCCCTAGTGTCTGGAGAAGGAGTTCAACTTTTTGCATCAGCAATTTCTTTGTTTTGATACTGAAATTGGTCACCTTTTACAAAGATGCAAATGAGCCAGGCTTGAACATTTTGCTTACTGACAAGTCAAGTTCCGCTGTTTTACAACAGGAATGCCAGAAGCAGCCTAACTTTAAACATCAAGTTTCCCCGCAGTAAGCTTGAGGTTTTTTTTCTGCTTCACAGAGCCAAACTACCTTTGCTCAACACTGACATATTCATAGCCAGGGTTTGTAAAAGATCAGCTGTAGTCAAGCGGATGGTGTCAATCACTGAAGCATTCTAAACATTTTTCTTCTTAAGCATCACTCAACACCTCTAAAGATAAATGTATTTTAGAAGATAGAGCCATGTGTTAAAAGCAAAAGGCTTAAATGGAATCAGGGTGGACGCAGACTTCCCTCATAATGTACCTGTACATAATAAGTAAATAATGTTATTTTTATTAAAGAATAAAGCATCTTGTAAATTTGCATAAAATAAAATAGCATACAATTGATATGTTTGAATGTAAGTTTTGGAAACTTACATTTGATAAGAAATAAACACTAGTCTAAATAAAGCTGTTCAATACTTTTGAGACATTTGTTAAAAACAATCTGAAAAAAGTATGCATAGTCAAATTTTACTTTATTTTTCGCTGAAGGAAAGTGTGACAGCACACACCTGTTGTTTTCAACAGGATCTAATGAAAAGGTGCCAAAACAAACCTACTTGTGAAATCTCTATGCTGCTCAGTAGAAAGAAACTAAGGTCCTGATTCAGCAAACTCTTAGTTTTGATTGAATATGTTACCTGCATTGAAGGTTCACAGGAATATTTCACTCAAAATAAGCTGTCAGCGTACAATAACATTTCAACACTCAAAGCTAAAACGGTACCTAAGAAAAGCCCACCAACACTAATATGCTTTGTTTGCGAATAATCCTGATGCATACTTTAAGACGGGGAACAACATCTCTTGTTATTTTTGTCACTTACAGCCTGACATAGCTCAATAACTGCCCACTAGAGAACACACTGACCATGAGATTTCTATAGTTGAAATTGGCAGGCAGAATTTAAACTGCCAGTCCATTCATTTACAACAGCCCCTTGGCACTGCTAATGGCAAGGCATTCTCTGTAAGCAAGAGCAATTGCTTCAGCTTTCTGCACAAGGTTCCTGTGTACCAGAACAAGTATAAAACATCATGGACTTATCTCATATCCAGTATGTGATGTAAGTATCCTCTGCAAGAACAGCATCTGCAACAGCTAGCACTTAGTCTGCTTCACATTGTGTAACTAATCAAAGAAAATAACCACTCGCAGATTAGCTATGTAACTTTCATTCTAATTACAATTACCGTCAAGAGGGGGCGGGAAAAAGGTAAATTCAACACTTAGGTATAGCTGTTAGTGCTTTGGAAATCCAAAGTTACCGAGAAGCATCAAACTGACTTTTGACCTTGCCAAAGTATTGCAGAACTCCTACAGAGCAAGAAAAGCACCTTTTCTTCGCACTGCAGCGTCATTTCTGACCCAGCAGTGCACAACAGCCCTGGTCAGCTGCAGGCAGCAGTCCACCCTCACCTCCAACCCACACACAGGGCAGTACCCCTGCAGCAACTCCCTGTGTAAACCCAAGAATGTTTTTGGGCTCTAGAGATTAGTTAAGTATTAGTATTTTCAAAATGCATATGATTAAGAAAGGAAAACAGAAACCTGCTGTACCTGCTCGCCTCCACTTATCTTAAATCCCCTGATCACCAGTTGTTTTCCAGATTTCACCTGTAAAACCTACAATTAGAAAACCAGATTTCCTAAGGTAATTTAATGGATCCAATAAAAGCAAGCATCTGGTATCTTCTTAGATTTCATTTTTCAGAAGAGACTTGCTCATCTGTATGTCTTGTAATTTGGTTCTTTGCAGAATATTTAAAGCATCAAATAATATATGGTTTGATTTATGAAGCAACTTCCACTTACAGAGTTACCTCATTGTGTACTCAAGCATTATGGAAACGCAAAGCCCATGTGTTTAAACCTACACTCTTTAATAGCATTCTCACAGGCAGCCACTCCAGTAAGCTTTTGCTAAGAAGCAGAAGTGACCAAGGAAGTGATCTCAGACAGCATTTACCGACAGTAGAAAGGAAGGTTAGAAAAAGAGGGCAAATAAGATGGAAGGGTTTTAGTGTTTGTTTGTTTCAATTAGTATTCCTGAATACGAACACGTCTAACTAAAGCAGGTGAAGGGATAATTTAATTGTGGCTGTCATCTCACCTTCAAATTGCCACCTCCAAATAACACAGCACACCATTTGGAGTCATCCCCAGGAAGTTATTACCAATTTGACACTTAGGCTGGTGTCATTAGCATTAATCAGTTCTCACTTGGATGGATAAGGATTTAACACAATAATTACAAGAGCAATTATGTTACTAATTATGAGTAGTTATGTTAATACATCAATATTATGTATAATTACTTTAAGAGTAATTATCAATATTAATACTATATAATAATTAATATTAGTTCTACTGATCCCTGCAACTCCTGACTTAGCTGATGTTATGCAAATGGTACAACACTTTCTGTGCATTTATCATCTTTATAAGTTATTTCTTCTAAAGCTTAGTTGTTAAGTAACTGATTTTGAAACATTTGACCCAATGCTCTTACTCACCTGTGTGAATAAATCCTAGCCCCACAGGGAACAGAAGAATTCTGTTCCTTTATTATCAACTTCCTCTGTGATACAGCAAGCCCTTTTAAAAATATTACCAGGTAGTAAAAGCAGACTTTGCATTTTCTTAAAGCAGGAAGACATGTAGTAGGAGATGAGCCCCTCATTATCCATCTGTTTCCAGTTGTTCATATTTATATTATCAAACTTTCCAGATGTCATGCTCTTCATGTTTTGTCCCTGTGGAATAATAAACTGTGTTCCTCTTACCAGCTCTGAAACATCTATCCTTACGTTTGGACATTGAAAATAACTTGCAAATGAATAGTGTGTTAAATTCTTGTTTTCTATAGAGATTTCCAAGACCAGCATTCACCAATTCCCTCTTGCAAACTACTTAAAGAGAGAAGAAAAAGGATGGAGTGGTGAGGCTGGATGGAAAAAAAGCAGCAGCACAGAGTGAAGTTAGCTGGAAATAAAACTGGAGGCAGTCTTGCCTCCAGTGAGCCATTTATATATATATTGAAAAGAGGAGAAGCAAACAACAAAACAAATGCCAGATCTGCAGGTGTGCTAACAAATTAAAACTGGAGCAGGAAAAGAAAAAATCTGTTATATCCTTTCAACCTCTGTTTCACCTCAGCAAACTGTATGACACAACCATTATGCTGGATTCTAAGGAGAATTGCGTGCAATCAGCCTTATCAGCACCACCTGTAAACACACTGCAGGTATCTGCTCAGTTTGCTACAGCTCTGCTCTGCCAGTTGGCACCAATCACAGGTGCTCCAAAGCTGCCCTGAGCTACTAAAGATAGAGAAAGGAAAAGAACACAAACTCTAAGTTAAGAAATTGGCATTACAGACACCACATGCAGTGATAATTTTTTTCAGCCATTAAAGAAGTTTTCAACAGGACATGTTACAGGCATCTGGCTACTCAAGAAAGCATTGAAGAGACTAAACACATGTTCTCTACTTAGGTAATTTCTGTCACTAGGAGTTACTCCAATGTTATACAATCAGTAAATGTACAGAGGTTAGGCTAAGTAGGATTATTGCAATGAAAAATAATAAATGAAAAATGCTCACCAATGTTGTAGACATGCAATAAACTCCATGAATAACTATCTCCAGAAAGTGAACTTTCCTTACCGGCAGTCAGCACTTAAAAGGAATCCAGGAGAGGTGGGGACAGACTCCACCCCTTCTGGTAGCACAGGTGAATTGCCTTCACCTGTGCTCCTGTGGCTGACTCATTGTTTGCCTCAGATGGTCAATCAGAGGTTCAAGCTGTGATCAACAGCTCCCATACAAATGCAATGAGGGAATTTGTGAGGTTGCATTGGACACATCAAAATAGAATTAGACATTGTGTTCTGAAATCTCCAGATGATGTTTATCTTTGCATACATCTCACTCAAATTTTCTGCTTCACATAAAATTGTTGTCCACTAAAATCTGAAAAACAGCAATTCAGTTTCTATATACGAAGACAAACTCAAAGAATTCCTGATTCTAAGAGCCAAAAACTATTTGTGTGTCTATTACTTGGGAGAAAGAATAATGAAAGAATAAATCTATAAGCTGGAAATGAGATGGCAATGTGTCTTCAGGGCCCAGAAACCCAATCATATCCTGGGCTGCATTCAAAGAAGCATGGCTAGCTGGGTGAGGGAGGTGATCCTGACCCTCTACTCTGTGCTGGTAAGGCCTCACCTGGACTACTGCATCCAGATGTAAAGTCCTCAGTACAGGAGAGACATGGACCCATTGGGGAGTGTCCAGAGGAAGGCCACAAAAATGATCCAAGAGATGGAATGCCTCCCCCATGAGGAGGACAGGCTGAGAGAGCTGGAGCTGTTCAGCTTGGGGAAAAGAAGACTCCAGGGAGACCTGATAGTGGCCTTTCAGTATCTAAAGAAGGGCTATAGGAAGATGACAGACTCTTTAGCAGGGTCTTTTGTGATAAGGGGAAAGATTTCAAACTAGAAGAGGGAGATTTAGATTGGATATAAGGAAGAAGTTTTTTATGATAGTGAACATAGTGAACCTCCAGAACAGGTTGCTCAGAGATGTGATGGATGTGCCATTCCCAGACACAATCAAGGCCAGGCTGGATGGGGCTCTGAGCAACTTGATCTAGCTGTAGATGTCCCTATTCACTGCAGGAGAATTAGAAAAGATAACCTTTAAGCACCTCTTCCTACTCAAAGGATTCTATCTGCCTCTTGTTGGACTGTATGTTCAGATTATTACAGTGCAGGTTCTAATAGTATTTTAAATAAAAATTCCTGAGGAACACAACTTTATCCATTCTCTTCAAACTACCAGCAATGGTCTCATTCAACAGTATTTCCAAGTAGCTTTCTAGGGGATTATATTCAAATTACATCCTCACTGCCTGTACCTTATATACAGGGCATCTGGGCACCAAGACTGAACAGGCATGGCAGTGACTCCCAAGGTTCCTCTAGGCAAAGACCAAGACCCACGACGCATCCTAGTGAACCTTAACAGGCAATGTAGACACAAGAGTCACATAAATGGCTACACATGTAAAGGTGGGTAGGTTTTTTTTTGTTTCTGCTTGTTTTCAGAAAAACAAGAATAAACAGAAATAAGACTGAATAAAAACAAATAATTGCGCAGAGAACAAAAATTAAAAAGACCCCTTCTCCTGCAGATTCTCCTCTATTCACAGTTGTTTAGGGAAAATAACCAGAGCCAGACTTAGTACATTTTTTATTTTTTTTTTACCTTTCAGGATTAGGTTCTGCCTCATAATTTCTAAGAAAGCCCCCTATGGTGTGGAAAGTTTACTCCAAAAATAATTTCTGCCAAATTACAGGAAGAATTACTCATACCTTTATTACGAACTGTATGAAATAGTTATGTCTTTCAAAATATTAAAAAAATAAAAAGGGAGATTGATTCAACTGATTCAAAGAAAAACAACTTTTGTCCCTCTATTGCAGGTTGTAAATACCCTGCAGAATATTTTAAGAAGTATATTGCCAACCCTAGGAAGTAAAATTGCCTATTTAGCAGAAAAATGAGGTATGTTTCATGATTCCCCACGTAGAAGATATTCCTGCCCTTGCAGGGATGCTCACTTGCTATGAACAAAGCAAATTTTTATTTACAAACTCCTTCAAAACAAAGTCAGAGAAGAAATTGAACCATACAAGTCAGGCACTAGCATTTTAAATATACCATGTAGAACTTTCTGCAGAACTGCATTAGATAATTTTAAATTAAAAAAGACATTTTAAAAAAATTCTACATAATACATAAGCCATTAGGTAGCTACGAAAAAGTTCATGTTACAAGTTCTGCTGACCTTGACTTAATAAAAAAAATATATATATATGCTTAGTGTTTGCAGAATGGAACACTAACTACAATCAATAGGTTTTCCTTAGAAAAAGTGCAAACAGAACTGAAAGACATCTACACCCAAGACTAATCATATTCTCCAGTAGAGCAGAATAGTCTCACAGATGTGCAGCACTTGGGTAACAACACATATTTGCAGGGAAATCAGAGGGTTCCTGAGATTGCTGTAGGCAGAAAGTTAACACATCCCACGAAAAGAAACTCAAGAACTCAGGAATAATATCTGAGAAACAACACTTCAGTGGAAATATTCTACCAGACCAGGTCTCAGTTTTGAAATTTAATCTGACTAACAAAAGCTTAAGATAAAGGCTTATGTCCATGGTCATGTTCTATTGCTTCAGTGCCCCTATTTTATTTTTTTTTCAAATCATGATCAAGTCTCTGTTCTTGTAACCAAGATGCTTGCTTTACAAAAGGGTAACTAGCAGCTTTCCTTCAAAATGTTTGGGAACTACAGTGGCTCCAAGTGGGCAGTAAAATAGTAAATTTAAAACTTGCCTATTGTAAACCAATGCTGGCAATGCACAACAGGCTTGGGGATCACAGAGTTTGGACCATGTTTCCTATCCAGCTGCAAAAGTAAATTGGGAGATTGGCATTATCAATTCAGAAAATTAGGAGGAACACTCCTGCATGGGGGTTGCACTCCAACCACAGCAACAAGCAGACACAAGTAAAGCTTGTCACTTTGTCACTATAAGAATAAATGCCACATTGCCACATCATTTCATAAACATACATATCAAAAAAGCAAGAGCAGTACATCCCTGCATATCCCTAACTGGTTTCGCCCATTAGTCTACTTTCTTCAGACAGTTCCCCAGCAGCCGCCTTCTCTGCTAGAAGAAAGAAAAAACAGCCTGTTGCAATTCAACCTGTGGTTTTGGCAGGTCCTGCGCTTTTGTTCTGTGGACAAAACCCACATGCCTGGATGGACAGATAGTCAAGCTAGGTTTCTTGAAGGTAGAGAATTGCTCTGCAAAAACCCTGGCCCAGAGTGGCTTGTCTTGATCCATTTTCCTCATATGTTTTTCCCATGCTTTCTTATTGAACAACACCCCTGATTTGGCATAGAGTATGCTACATATAGTATAGATACATTTGAAGTATATGTATAGTGGATAGCTGCTTTAGACTTTCATTAGATTGCATAAGAGGTTCCAGCACGGTTTTGCCCCTGTTCCAGTACTTTCTGGTTTGCTGCAGCAATACCAGGTCAGACAACAAGCTGTACAACTACATGAGGTAATGATCTGGCTCTTGCTGGTAAGTTTTTTCCCTATCAGGGACTAGAGCTGTCTCAATCAATGCCTGCTTGGTTTGTTTGGATGATCAAGAAACAGCTGCTAACCTAAAAGATCCCGTAGCAGTCAATTTAGACCCTTGTAACTCCATTCCACACTTGCTAAACCTTTTCACCGAACCTTATTAGAAACAGAGCTCCCACAGCACGGGAGGGAATTAGAGGGTTTCTGCACTGCATTCACACCATCACAAGCTCTACTGGAGCAGCTATGTGCTAGAGTGCTTTCCTCGGTCCCTATATTAAAGCAACTCACTTTACAGGTCAGTGCTCTGGCAAGCTTGCTCCTTGGCGAGACTAGCAGCTTCCACAGTGGCAGAGTGAGGTAGCCACAGCTGTACCAGCTGTGCATTTAATGCTGAGCACAGGTTCCCAACAGCTTAAGTAATAAGAGTTCAGCATAGCAGTCAAGATTACACATTAAGCATCCATGAGCAAAACAGAAGCAATTAAAGAACAACCAGGGAGTGCTCAAATGTGTAACCAGATACTCTCACAGCCAATACATATCAATACAAC